AAACATTTTTCAGACTAATGTGGTTCATCCTTCACAGAGCTGGAATATGACTCGTCGTGTGGCAGTGATTGGAGGAGGTAGTTCGGGTCTGGCCTGTATCAAGTGCTGTCTGGATGAGGGGCTGGAGCCTGTCTGCTTCGAAAGCAGCGATGACATTGGTGGCCTGTGGAGGTTTAAGGTGGGTCTCACTGTGTGCAGGTTGGATTTTCTTTCACTCACAAAGTTTAGTAAGTTAGGATGAACATGTTCTCGCCTCCTGGCTGTTATTGCAGGAGAATCCAGAGCCAGACAGGGCCAGCATCTACCACTCTGTCATCATCAACACCTCCAAGGAGATGATGTGTTACAGTGATTTTCCCATTCCTGCACACTTCCCCAACTACATGCACAACTCCCTCATCATGGACTACTTTCGAATGTATGCTGACAGCTTCCAGCTCACCAAGCACATACGCTTCAATGTAAGGGGGCTTCACTAACGTCCTGAGAGTGATGTACTCTTTATTAACTCTTTCATTGAAAAGATGTATAGTCAGTAGATGCAACTTATTATCTGTTTCTGCCTCTCTGTTGTTCAGACCAAAGTCTTGCAGGTGAAGCAGAGATCAGATTTTTCTCGTTCAGGCCAGTGGGATGTTGAGACTGAGGACAAGGATGGCAAAAAAAAGAAACACATTTTTGATGCTGTGATGATCTGTATTGGACATCACTGCCACCCAAACATGCCACTACATGACTTCCCAGGTACCACTGACTGACTGTGTTAAGATAAATAGACTGTACCTTGTCATATCTATGGTGGTTGCAGAATAATAATGGATAATAAAGTATGTGGGGCAGCCACAACATAAAGAAAATAGTGAGTCATCAACATCAGCCCTGTCCATCAGTCCTGTCTTAATGTTAATGTCTCAATTAAACATAATTCTGCTCACTCATCAGTGGTCCCCAACCTTTTTTTTTGCCTCTTTGGCTCTATCTACTTTCAATCCCTTGTCACAGGTTGTATATGGGTTGTGAGCAGTTCCATCCAAAGTGGGATTGTTCACTCTGAACCTCACAGATAGTTTCAATAAGTGTTAGAAATCCAAACTGTTTCACCAAAAAAAGCTAAGATCAGAGACAGTTATGGAAAAATAATATACTTTTGTTAAGATGAACAGTGTTTTCTTCTTTCCTATCAGGGCAGATTCATCTTGTGACCCTTTCAACGTGTCCTAATCTCTCAATTGTGAACCACTATTATATATAGTGTAGTCATTAATTCATTCATTTATTCAGGTTACATGGAGACATGCCTGTGTCAACAGGCAAATCTGATCTATACTCCTTGCTAATATGTAGGCAGCTTCAAATCAAGCAAATGTCACTATATTTCACAGTTTTCTGAAATGTTTGATACCAAATGTTACTGACGAGTGTCTGAAACAATCAGCATTTTAGGTTTATGTTGTCTTTGAATGTTTTTTCTTGCTATCAAGTCCTCCTGGCAGCAGAAGCATAGACACATTTATTAATTTATTGCCAATGCCTTTTGACAAAAAAAGGCTTTAAAATTTCAAAAGGCATTTTCTCTGACTGTCAAAAATCTGTCCTCTCAGGCATTGACACTTTCAAGGGAAAGTATTTCCACAGCCGAGACTACAAGACTCCTGAGGAGTGGAGGAATAAAAAGGCTGTAGTGATTGGAATAGGAAACTCTGGGGGAGACATCGCAGTGGAGCTGAGCAGAGTCACCAAGCAGGTTGGGTAGTTATGGATCGTCCAAGGCACGCGCAATAAGACTTTGATCACTTATCTTTAATCAAGTGCTGGCACTTACTTCTTGTATCGTATATTTACAGGTATATCTAAGCACTCGAAGGGGAGCCTGGATCCTAAATCGAGTTTCAAGCAACGGTCTTCCTGTAGATATGCTCAACGACAGAGCGTTTGTGACTATTGTGCGCAGAATGCTTCCCTTTGGATTAGTCTGCAGCATGGCAGAAAAGCGCATCAACCAAAGATTTGATCACAGTCTGTACAACTTGAAGCCGAAGCACAGGTATTGCAGAAAACAGCATAGTTTAGTCGAAGGCATGGCTTTTGTACTATAAAATTATTTATGACTGACACATGTTTTCAGTATTACTAACCAGTATATAAAAAATATAAATCTCAGGTTGTTCAGC